GCCGCCGGCGGCCTGCACTTCGACGACCGCTTCTCCGACGAGCAGCTGGTGACCATGTCGGTGCGCGAGCTGAACCGGCAGCTGCGCGGGGTCAGCAAGGAGGAGGTGATCCGGCTGAAGCAGAAGAGGCGGACCCTGAAAAACCGCGGCTATGCCCAGTCCTGCCGCTTCAAGAGGGTGCAGCAGAGACACGTCCTGGAGTCCGAGAAGAACCAGCTGCTGCAGCAAGTCGACCACCTCAAGCAGGAGATCTCCAGGCTGGTGCGCGAGAGGGACGCGTACAAGGAGAAATACGAGAAGTTGGTGAGCAGCGGCTTCCGAGAAAACGGCTCGAGCAGTGACAACCCGTCCTCTCCCGAATTTTTCATGTGAGTCTGACACGCGATCTCAGCTCTAGCCACCCTGATAAGTGCTCCGCGGGGGTCAGGCTCGGGTGTGGGCTTGCTAGTTCCAGAGTCACGCTCGCCACCACCTGGCCCCCTCCCCTGCCGAGTTCGCCCCCCTTGGCCCCTTGCACACACACACACACACACACACACACCCTGCTCCGAGTTTGTGGTGGTGATGGCTGTTTTTAGTTGGGGAGGGAATGGGTGTCTGGCTCATGGATGGCCAAGCTGATATTCTCCATCATAACTTGCTAGCTTGTTTTTTTACACCACCCCCCTCCCAGACTTGCACAATGTTCAAAGATCTCAGCAGAGTTCTTCATGTGAAACGTTGATCACCTTTGAAGCCTGCATCATTCACGTATTTTTTTTTTCCCTTCTTCTTCAGTTCATGAGCTGGTGTTCATTTTCTGTGTGTGTGTGTGTTTTATTTTGCTTGGAAATTTTTTTATTATTATTTTACTTTTGGAGCTTGCTGTGTCGCCCACCTTTTTCCCAGCCTTCAACCCTCACTCCCCCTCTTCACCCATCTCACCCCCCTCCGAGATAAAAGAAAAAAAAAGAAGCAAAGTTTTTTTTTCTTCTCCTGAGTTCTTCATGTGAGATAGAGCTTGCAAAAGAAAAAAAAATGTGAAATGTTATAGACATGCATCGTGCTGAGTTCCATCGGGTTTTTTTCTTTAGCATTGTTATGCTCAAATAGAAAAAAAAAATCCTCATGAACCTGCCACAATCAAGCCTGCATCAACCTTCTGGGTGTGACTTGTGAGTTTTGGCCTTGTGATGCCAAATCTAAGAGTTTAGTCTGCCATTAAAAAACTCATTTTCATCTCATGCATTACTATGCTTGCTACTTTGTCTTAGCAACAATGAACTATTTCAAAGACTTTATGGAAAAGAGACATTATATTAATAAAAAAAAAGCCTGCATGCTGGACATGCATGGTATAATTATTTTTTTTTCTTTTTTTTTTTTTCCTTTTGGCTTGGAAATGGATGTTCAAAGACTTACAGCATGGCATTCGTACTTTTGTTGTATTGCCTCATGACTTTTTTTGAGTTTAGAACAAAAAAGTGCAACCCTAGGGCCTTCTTCCCATGAAAGTTTGCGTCTGCTCCAAAACTGCTTTGAGTTACTCAGAACTTCAGCCTCCCAATGTAAACGCACGGAAGGCGTCCCTTGTCAAAGACGCCAGAGTGGGTCACCCATTTAATATGGCAAACTTTAAAGAACTCTTCATGATGCCCCCACTTGGGGGGCTAAAATTGTGCTGTTGCCGAAAGCAGTCTAAAAATCTATTTTTTAAAAAAGATAAATCTGCCCCATTATTTTTTGGTTTGTTTTATTTTTATTATTATTATTTTTTTTTCTTTTTTTGGCTTTTGGTCATTGTCAAATGTGGAATGCTATGGGTTTCTAGTATATAATTTAATTCTAGTTTTTATAATCTGTTAGCCCAGTTAAAATGTATGCTACAGATAAAGGAATGTTATAGATAAATTTGAAAGAGTTAGGTCTGTTTAGCTGTAGATTTTTTCAAAGATTGATGCACTAAATTGTTTACTGTTGTGATGTTAAGGGGGGTAGAGTTTGCAAGGGGACTGTTAAAAAAGTAGCTTCTATAGCATGTGCTTGCAACTTAAATATAAGTTGGGTATGTGTAGTCTTTGCTATACCACTGACTGTATTGAAAACCAAAGTATTAAAAGGGGAAACACCCCTGTTTATATCTGTAGGGGTATTTTACATTCAAAAATGTATGTTTTTTTTTTTTCAAAATTAAAGTATTTGGGACTGAATTGCACTAAGATATAACCTGCAAGCATATAATACAAAAAAAAATTGCAAAACTGTTTAGAACGCTAATAAAATTTCTGCAGTTATAAAAATGGCATTACTGCACAGTTTTAAGATGATGCAGATTTTTTTACAGTTGTATTGTGGTGCAGAACTGGATTTTCTGTAACTTAAAAAAAAAAAAAATCCACAGTTTTAAAGGCAATAATCAGTAAATGTTATTTTCAGGGACTGACATCCTGTCTTTAAAAAGAAATGAAAAGTAAATCTTACCACAATAAATATAAAAAAATCTTGTCAGTTACTTTTCTTTTACATATTTTGCTGTGCAAAATTGTTTTATATCTTGAGTTACTAACTAACCATGCGTGATGTTCCTATGTTGCTTTTCTTTCATTTTCAATTCTGGTTATATCAAGAGAAAGAATAATCTACAATAATAAACTGCATTTTTTTTTTTGATTCTGTACTCAATTTCTTAGTGTACAGTTTAACTGGGCCCAACAACTGCCTTAGACGTGTAAAACGCATCTTCCTCTCCAGTGGAGGGAATAGGGGAATAATAGGGAAGCAGTAATTCAGGGTAAAATGATAGGCTGCTTTGTGAGGTGAGGAGGCTGGCCCCATGCAGTAATTAGCAATATTTAATATAGATGTAAATGATGACCTCTTATTTTTTTTTCTCCCTAAAGTTTTCAGTTCGCAAATGAGTTGAGCCATCATTGCCCTGCACTAGGAGGGTGATGGGACAGTAGATCTGGGCTCCCTGAACATGTCTGCACATTTCTAAAGAGCGATGAGCCAGGCAAATAGGGCACATCAGAGGTGGCTTGGGCACATATGCATTTAATGGTAAAGATAAACAATTCGTGCCTTTTGGCTTAAAATTGCTTATTTTTCCTTTTTCCCTCCTACACCATGATTTTCTTGTTAGCAAGGCCTGACAAGATTTAACATAAACACTTTGGACAAATCAAAGTTGTTTGTTTTGCTTTTGTCTCTAACATTGAAAGTCATTTGTCTTACATAGGAAAAAGAAAGTTCACCCCTTACTGACATAACTCCAAGTACATATCTGGTTTAAACTGTGTTACCAAATCATATTTCACTGTGACTATTCAGTGAAGAACTTCTGTACTTAGACAAGCTGGTAATAATTTCAGATCATGTTATCCCCAGAAACACAAGCAGAAAATAATACTTTCGTGGAATAGAGACTGCGCTCTGATTTATTGGTATTTAACCCCACACAGGCTGTTTGGGGACTCACTTAAAATCATTTGGGAAAAAAAAAACTCTAGTTACCTTCACTAGTAGGACACGTAAGCATTGACCTATTTTTAAATGACACAAATTCATGCCACTAATGTTACAAATTCATGGACTCTTAGTCAACTTCCCCCTAGAAAGCTATTAGAAGGTTGGACAAAGCCAGCCCTGTGCGGAAAATATAGCCAAACACCATGACTTTTGTTTGATTTTGTTTTCACTTTGGGTTTTTTTTTTTTTCTTTTCTTTTTTAAGAGAGATAATATTGCCACTCTGAACGAAAGCCTTATTTTGAAGAAAACAGGTTGTGCTTGATGCTGCCGGGTTCTGGACAGTTTACCATCTGGCCTTCCTGCCTCTCTTTCACAGAACATGAAGACTGTGTATACCCTTGACATTTTGCCCCTTCCTTTATGTGCCAACTTGGATATGGCTCCTGTAACTACGCTTCATTTTGCTTAGCAAAAGTCCTAATAGTAAACCTACCCCCATGTGCTGGAAATCAGCTGTTCGCAGCTTCAGAGATATTTTTTTTTTCCCCTTTCTCATCTCAACTGGGAGATACACAGCCTCCCTCATTAGAAGCAGCGATGGAAATAGCACTTTTACAAAAAGCTCAGCATCCGGTGAAAGATTTTAGGTAAACACGTTCTCCAAATAAGAGTGACATTCAGATAGTAGATATTGCACTTATCTCATGAAGAATGGGGCCTGGATTAGGCAAAAAAAAAAAAAAATATATATATATATATATAGCTGTGTAGCAATTAAACACTTTGATAGGAATCTATAAGCAAGTTGAATACAAGAAGCAGGTTTGGGCCCCTAAGCCTTAGAAAATCAAGAACAGAGGTGCTAGCAAAAAATGGGGTTTGGGTGGCTGGCTTTCAGAGAAGGTTAACTCCTAGCAAAAGGCATTTTTTAAAAAACTTTGAAATACAGTTCGAGTGGCAAACACAAATAAATGGCTTTTTTTTACAAAGGACTATTAAGTCCTGCAGAGGGGACATTCCTTACAAATAAGTCTCCCCCTTTAAAAGAGAAATCATATAAGGAAATCTAGCTTTCCCCTTTACGCTGCATTTGAGTCTTTGTCTAAATAGTGTTAAAATTCCTTTCATTCCAATTACAGAACTGAGCCCACTCGCAAGTTGGAGCCATCAGTGGGACACGCCACATTTTGGAAGCCCCAGCACCGCGTACTTACCAGTGTGTTCACAAAATGAAATTTATGTGAGAGCTGTACATTAAAAAAACATTATTATTATTATTATTTTATTATTTGCAGTCGTGGAGAACAACCCAGCCCCTGACTTCTGTTTAGTCTCCTTTTGCAAGAAAAAGTATTGTGTTGAGAAGAAGGCTATTAAATGTGTAAACTCCATGCTAATTACCTATGCCTCTTGTCTGAGGGTCTTGTATTTAGACCTTTAGAAAAGCCCACTTATGCTTCTCCATGTGCGATGTGATGCCCACAACTGAACAGGTGCGATGGTTTTCAACCTGGATTGTTAGTTTTTAAAATTCACTGAAATTACAAATATATCTATCTGTGCATATCTATGAAGAAAAGTTTCCCGGAATGTGACCAGCTAGCCTTTTAAAAGCATACGTAGACATGCACAGTCTAAATAGTACTTTCTATGCTTCCTCGTTTCTCTGGCAGATAATTTTACTAAGAAGAAAAAAAGTACCTTGACTCCCCTTTTCCCAGCAGATGCCATCGGCCAGAGCTTCAGCGGAGCTGAGCACCCCCTGCCCAGTTTCTCGTAGGCCCTTAGATAATATTGTGTTTTTCAGTGGTATCAAACGTGTTTCTTTATCAGACATAGCTGTAAATGAAAAGAATGTGTGGCAAAATACAAAGTTAGTTAAATACACACCCTCTGTGTGCTCTTTGGGTCCCTTTTCTTTTTTGCTCCCAGGCACTCACAGAATCACCACCCTTTTCATTTCCCAGTTCCTTCATCTTCCCTTACAAAACACGCAGCCGTTTTTTACACTGTATCTGACACATTAATATATTGATATCAACGAAGCAGAGGTTCTACTCCGGCCCAGCAGATGAGTCTGCTGTCTAGAAGTTATTTCTGCACTGTCTCAAGGCCAGAACCACCTGAGCCCTTTTCAACACACACAACTCACAACTCCGATGGGAAATCTTCTATTTATTACTGAACGCGTGATGTTAACGTTCTGGCCTTTTCTCCCTTGGACCTTTACCCCAGTTGTTTTTATTTAGTAACATCAATTCTAGATCCTTCTATTCTTAAGTAGAACCTCCCCCCTGGCCAAACCACTGGTTTTACTGCTCAAAGCAGCGCACAGAAGGCAAACCGTGGCTACCCTCACAAACATGGTTCACAGCTGTTTCAGTAGCCACATTCCCAGCATGTCCTGGTAGAAATAACTGGAGTTGCTGATGACACGCTCACAGGCTCCGGAGTACAGCACGTTGGGAAGCTTTTGCTGTTGTTACTGTTGTTTTGGTTCAGGCCAAATTGCTTCCGAATTCACAGCCAAACTCTTGGCTTTAGAAAACGTGCCCACCCCCCATAAACTAGACCAATCAATATATTTAAGAATCCCATGGCCACATGAGTATATCTGTTTTCGTGCTTTCCACTAGTTCAAGACTGAGATACGGTGGGAGACTAAAACATATGTGTGGCAACCTTCAGCCATCTGATTCCCGTGCCAGTAAAACACACAACCAAGCTCTCCTTGGCACTCAGATAAATACTCTCTCGGAGGGAATAGGAAGTCAGACTCACCAGCTTCGGGCTGCTGATTTGCAAGGCTCTCAGAACAATTCACTGTCACTAAAAAAATGTTTGTCCCTCTTTGAAGACATATCTTAGTTTTTTGGTTTTGGGGGATTTTTTAGAGAAGTTTTATCTGCAGTGATAGGCTAAAATTTTTACCTCTTTTATTCATTATTCTTTAGGATGCTGAATGAATAATTTGAGGTCTGTGTCTTCCTTATTTTCTCTTTTGGTGTTGTTTTTTTGTTTTGTTTTGTTTTTAGGATAATAAGAGAAACCCTGGAGTTTGTTTCACTCTTAGCTGAGTCCAGGGCAGGGCATACTGTAGTTATAAAGGAAGTGATCTGGTGTCCAGCCCTCTGAATCAAGATTCGTTTTTGCATTTATTTAAAAACAGAGCAAGAACCTCAACCCACCTTCCCCTAACACTGCTTTTCTCGATTTTGATATAGTCTTCAAAATCCAGACATCAAACAGCCCCAGAAAAGGGGAAATCTCTCCCAGGCCTTGCTCTGCCCTAGCTCCTGAACAAACCCAGCTCTGTCTAGCTTTTTTTTTTTTTTTTTTTCTAGCACGGGTGGAAGACTGGGTGAGAGAATTTCAGTCTCCCAGGCTGTCTCATGATTGTTGGGGCATAAAGAAGCACAGTCCTGCCACATACGGGGAGCATCTTTACCCTTTAGAGAGGGACAAAACAAAACAAAACAAAAACCAAACAAATCAAATTGCTGTGCACGAAGGCGTAGCAAAATCTTGGGTTCTCTGTTTCCCTGCACCGTCTGTGGGAGGTGAGAAATGAAGGAAACAAATAAAAAAAGAGAGAGAGAGAGAGAACTTTGAAGGCAAGAGGCCCAGAAATAATACTAGTTACCAGGCTGAATGTCACTTGCTCAGTGGCCAATGTCAGGCCCTCCACACACACATGCTAGATCCAACAAGGTCCAGCTGTTCATTTCTTTAAAATACGTTCCCGGGAGTTCTTCCTTTTTGAAAACAACTTTAGGGACCAAACCCAAATGAGAGATTTGAGGAAATCACTCTCTAATGTCCTAACTTGTGAACATTTTATAAATAATATATACATCCAAATACATCAGTGATTTGATGGTGGTGACATTGAGGACCAGTCAGACACGGTATGCCAGTATTGATATGGTCACTGCAAGCTTTGTGACATGGAGACAGTTTCTTTAGTGTTTAAATTTGGGAGCTCTTTGTGTGTTTTCCATAAGTCTGTCCAACAGAGCAAGGCTGAGATAGAAAAGGCGAATGCACAGCACACAGAAATCAGATCTTTGTATCCATTTGCATCAGAGTTGGACAGTGTGAAGAAACTTACAGAACACGTTTTCCACTAAGCCGTGATTGAAATACACACTTCCTCGCTCAAATCATAGTTATCTATTGAGCGTCTCTGTTCTTGTTCAACACGATTCGTTTTCTTTTCCTTTCCTTTTTATTAAACAACAATTTTCCCTGTAATTAGGACTCCGGATTGCAAATTCACATTCCTCCCCTCTGCAGAGATTCATCTCGGATCTTTAGTTACAATTAGAGAAGGAGAGGCGTTAATTCCAGAAGGGAGGATGTGGGAGGGGTACCTGCCGAGGTTTGGGAAAAGGAGGCGTAGAGAGGAAATCGTTTTCTGTGCTTGCCCCCCACATTCCTCAACCTGTCCCTCAGCCCCCAACCCGGGCCTGGTGTGAGCTGCAAACCAGAGATTTCAGTTCTGAATTTCACTGTTCTAAATATCCTCGCCGGTGTCCAAGCTAAGATTTCAGAGAACCGTTTTTCCTTGTGGTTTGTTCTTTCCGTGAGGCAACAGGAGAGGCCACGAAACCTTATAGAACTAGGCAGTGATGAAAACCACCATCTTTCCAGAATCCCCAACAAGGATGCCTGTAAAGGGAACCCTGGCCTGGAAAATTGGGGCAGTCTGCAGATTTCTTTTCTGCCACCAGTATTTGCCCTGGTTCTAAATGACCTCGTCCACTTCTGGGGGCCCATAGAAGTGGGTTTCTGGCCGCGTTTGGGGGATTATCCAGAGGGAGGACAGGCCTGAGGCTCCTGGGACAGCAGGCAATCCAAAACCAGGCCCAGAAAGCAGAGGAGGGGAAGGGGCAGGTACACAGGGTTTGGGGACAATACTGGGCTAACAGAGGCCAGCCTTGGCTAGTGACCCTTAGTCGCCAGTAGTCAGCTCCGTGTCATTCTCAGGATCCCCACCTCCCCCCCCCTTCCCCTCCCGGAAGGACCTGTTTGCAGAGTGAAGGCCAAGCCTCTGATAGGCCCTGAGCTCCACACAGATTCCTAAAATAGTGAGATCCATAGCTCCAGGGTTAGGGCCCCAGGGACCTGCCTCCTATCCAATCCCCATCCCAGTTTCTTTGCCATAATTTGGAGCACTTCTTCTTCCCAAGCCTGCTCATCAGGGCTATTCTAGAGTCTCTGAGGGCGCTGCCCTCGGGCCAGCAAGCAGTCACAAGAGCTGCAGCCTCGGCCCCAAGAAGTCACCCGGCCCAAGTTTAAGTGCAGACAAAGGCAGGTATGGGGAGAAGGCCCAGGGACGGCATAGGGAGAGGAGCTGGAAGGAAGCAGTGGGGAATGTTTGTCCCCGGCTTGAACTTCTGGTGCAAGGGTCCTGAAGCCTGCAATGGAGTCGAGGCAGCGAGGACGCTTCCTGAGTCTGTCCCCTGTCCCAGTTTCCAGGGGCAACACTGCCCACCCACCTCCCCCATCACACACACTCTCCCCACCTCACCCCAGGCCTTTACACACCTGCTCTGCAGGGGCACAGCTGCGGGAGCTGGTGTGTTTCCCATCCTGGGGGGTCCCTGGACACGGGCACTGCAGGTGCGCACGCACCGCCTGAGCAAGAATGGCTGAGGCAGACAGGTCCAGGCAACTGCCCGAGGCCACCGGGAAGGATCCCAGGAATAGGCTTGTAATCCCAGGCCCGAAGTGGACATCCAGGGAGACTGGTGTGCTCAGGAACCGTGACAATGCAGTGCCCTCCTAGATGCCCGAGACTTCACCCAGCTGGGTGACGCTGATAGAGGTCACACCCAGCGTGCCCCAGGACCTAGGCCCTGCTCAGGTACCCACACCCCTGCAGAGGGCTGGTATTTGTAATGGAATTTGATTTCTGTTTTCCAAGAGGACTTTCCGGGTCAGAGCAGGGATATGTAAATTATCTGGTCTATTGCCCACCCTAGGAAGACACAGAGAGAAAACAAGATTTAGCCCTGAAAGCATCTACCCTTCACCTTGAGACCCCCGACTCCCGCAGCCCCTTCCCCCACGTGCTAGAGGCCTTGGGAATCATCTGTAAATAAGATCATCAGCTCCAGATCATTTGATTTTTACTCTATTAATTTTCCGGCCCATTTTCCAAACCCCCCACCCTTCCCCAGCTTGGAGGCTAGAGACAGAGTAAGAAGGAAAAAGAGAATGGGAAGAGGAGAATCTAGATAGCAAGCTTTAAAATCTTCATGGGAATGTCTGTATGGTTTGGGTTTCCAGAGCATAGTTGGGTAGACAATTATAAAACAAAATCAGTGAAGCATTCTTCATCAGGATTGCTCCGAAAGTTCCAGGACCAGCATCTTGCTTGCATTCCCAGATTTAACACCGTTCTGGACCAATCTCAGGCCCTCAGAAACTGTCTCAAGAGGACAAACTTTAAAATGACTAATTTCAGAACGGATCCTTTTTCCACGTAAAGCTTTTTTCTCACAGGGATCCTCGGTGGGTGAGAGTCGTTAAGTCTGACAAAGTTATCCCTGCATCTTTGGAAATAAAAAAGTTTTAGCTCTCTCCATCTCTCTTAGGGAAGGATTTATGAATGCCCAGAGAAATATGTTGAAAGTAAAACAATGAGGCCAGTATCTGAGACACTTAGATTAAAAAAAAAAATCCTTTAGATTAGATAGAGGGAAAAATCTGTGGTCATCATTCCACGATTAAATCTGTTAAAAGGTGATATTTGTGTCTTTTTTCAAGCAATGAATTCAATACATTCTTTCATCTGCCTTTTTAAAAAGTACTAACTTATTTAATTGTGGGGCCTTTGAAAGTTGGACATTGTAAAGAGGGAAAGCTATTAAAAGATAAACCTGCAATTTCTACT